CCTGCCTCCGAAGGCACTGTCCCGAACTCTGGCGTGGCAAAGCAACGGGCTGCCGTGTCCAGAGAGGGGGACGGGCCAGGCTGCTGGGCTGTGAGCACCGTGGCTGAGATGCTGCTCGCCTGGGCCAACCCACTGGAGAAAGGGCCCCCAGGGGTCCTGGCTCCACCACAAGCCTAGAACCCCTTCCCAGGCCAGCACTGGGGCCAGAGCCATGGGCAGGGGGTTTACAGGGTTCACTCTTCTGCTTCAGGGCCCATGCAGGAGCATCGCACTAATGCCTGCAGATGGCACAGGGCCCCTCGAAAGCATCGAGCTGGCTCTTAATTGCCCTCCTTAAACCAAGCTGCACCTACTAGCCGCCCGATCCTTCACCCCCCCCCCCCCCCCCCACCCCGCCACCGCCCACCACGCGCCCCCCCCCCCCCCCCCCCCCCCCCCCCCCGACAGCAGCAGCAACTGCCCCTGCCTCCTGGGCGGGGGGAGAACCTGCCCCCCCCTTGGCTAATGCTGCCCAGAGCTTGCTCCCTTCCTGCTCTGGTGATACGACCCCGCTCTCCGTTTGTGTGGGCAGGGCCTCAGGCTCGCCCATGCCCCACTCCCGCCCAGGTCTTCGCAGCCGTAGGGGCGCCAGCCCCCAGGCCAGCTGGTCTGAAACTGTTTCCCCCTTACGGCTGCCTGGCTCAGACCCGTCGACTTTCTCCTGATCAGTAACTTGAGGGCCTTGTGCCACCCTCACCCTGCGCTGGGTGAAAAACACTACGGGACACACCAGGTGTGTTTCCCACTCCCCTTGCACTCGTGCAAATGACAGATCTCGATCGAAGCAGCTGAGCCCACACTGCCCAAGTAAAGCCAACGGGGTCGCCACTGAGTCTAGAGATCGGGGTGGAGGGGGATAATCATCTTGCTGCTCCTAAAACCCTCCAGTCTTAATGCAATGGAGAGAAAAGTGGTTTCTTGGTCACCCTGTATTGCATCATGGCAATAAGTTTGTTTGGGGGAGGGTGACAAGCCAATCACCACCACCTCCACGGTCTGTCTCGATGCACTTCAGGGGTGTCAGTTTCAGGGTCCTGCTCGGTCATTAGCAAAAAACAAGAAAGCAAACACAAGCCATGGCTCCACTGGCCACCTCTCCGTGTTGGTTCACGGGCGGATCGTGTCCCTTGGCCTCGTGTCATACCGTCTCGGCAGTATTACGTTGGTGGGGGTGGTCTGTGCCGGTTTTGTCTTTCCTGTCCCCCGGAGGCTGCCAGATGCCCGTCCGGGGTGGGGCTGTTTCTGTCTGAGGGTTTGGTTTTTCTGGTTTTTGCCCTGCTCTCTGTCTCGCTCTTGCTCTGGTTTTCAGTTGAGTATTTTGTAATCTGTTACGATGTTTGTCCTTGTGTAAATAAAACTGTTTCTGGCAATCCTGCTGGCGGTGCTGGTGTGCGTGGGTCTGTTTGGGAGTCTGCCTTTCCAAAATGGGCTCCACAGCAGTCATTGGATTAGTACTGGCTGGATTTTTCCACGGTTTCCCGCAGCATAAAGGGGAGGTGCTGGCCACGGTAAGGTGTCTGTACGCTGTCAGAAAGGAGCTGAGGAGAACCTCACAGGTAGGGTTGCCAAATGGTTTATCAAAAACTATCGAACCACCCTCCAAAAAAAACACCGGGAAAAAATTCTGTTGAGCAAAAAAAAAACCAGACTGGGGCTGAAAAACAGGTGCGACCCCTTTAATTCCAAGTGCAGCATCCGAGTGGCCCTGCACAGCCAGTGCCGGGGGGCTGGAGGCCAGTGGAGCGGCCGAGTGGCCCTGCACAGCCAGTGCCGGGGGGCTGGAGGCTAGCAGGCCAGTC